GTGGATTTCTTCCTGTCTCTCAGATATTTACAATGTGCCTTTCCTCTCACAGATGCTGAAGGCAGTCAGTTTTCTGTAGTGCTTTCTAGTCCAAGACAACTGACTTTTCACTGCCCATGTAAATTATGCTGTAGCTGCAGGGTAGTCTTATACTAATCTTTGCTATTTGAGTTAAACTAATATGTAGATGTTTAAAAAGGGCCATGATATACCCAGAAGAATAATTTGGCTGCTGGTAAAGATTCAAAATAATCTTTAATTTCAGATCCTGTGTTCTTTCCAAGTCAGAAACCCTCATGACACAATCCACCACACACACACACACACACACACACAAAAAATTTAATAATAAGGAAATTGTTTGTTCCTTCAAATCATTATGATAGTTTCTATTTTGCTTTAAAGAGCTTCAAATGAATTATGTTTCTGCCAAAGAACACTGCTGCTACTGAGGTGAAATATGTAGAGTTCTAAAAAAAGTTTTATAGTTCTCTAAGGCAAAAGAAAATGGTATTTCTGATTTCGTTCAGTTGTTGCCCCACCTGAGTCAAGATTTCCAGTATGATCAAAGACTATTGAATTGATTCTATGGAAAAGATTTCAGGCCCAAGAAGGCAGGGGAGAGAGATGACTACAGGTGATGTTCTGTATTGCTGCCATTTAATGGTTCTTATGTCTTCTTGTCTGGTACATTGGGAAAAATATCTCCTGTCATGCTGGAGTAGCCCATCTTCCTGGCAGACACAGTGTGGACTTCTACAGAAGGGTTTTAAAAACAGGTCTTGGAAAATCTCTCAGATGAGAGAAAAGGGCATGGAATGGGTCATGAGAGACAACAGTATTTGAGGCAGGTCTTGGGGACAGAAAGACATCTTGTCCTAAAAAACCACATCTCCACAGCCTGCTCTGGCATCCACCTTTGGGGCAAACCCACCTGCCCATGGCCCAAGTTCACCAAGATGACTCAAAGACAACAGTGTCTCTTCTGCTGTGGCCCCACCCCCTGGCAGGGTCCTGCCAGTCATCCCTCCCCTGAGCACTGATGCTCCCAGTTGGTCCCTGCAGAAGAGCCAAGATGGCAACACCTGCCTTGAAGGGGGGATGAGGGAAGGACGGGGGGCAACACTCCTGTCCACCTGCTGGGCTGTTTGGCAGAGGAAATGGGGAGGGCCCTCTGCCAGACTTCAGAGCCTGAATTTGGCTACCCATTTCTTTTGCTGGGAAGCTTCTAGACCTCTTCAGTTCCTAAGCAAATTCTTCATTTTATTACAGCTGCATTTGTGGGGAGGGCCCCCATGTTACACCAGTAAGATAAATAAAGGGGCAACCAATGTCACCATTGGCACATTAATTTTTACAGGCCACAGCAGTAGTGACAAAGTAATGCAGGGGTTTTTTACATCTGCAGCCAGCAGACCTAAAAGAACACCACTGTTTCCCCTCCTAACTAGAATCACTGTGAGCCTGGAGGCAGCAGGAGTTACCATGGGAGGGATGCCTACGGCGAGCAGCAGGTTATGCAAACAGTTTTATAACCTGCTGAGGAGAGGGCGGCAGGGAGGGGAACTCGAACTTCCGCTCCAAATCAGACGTCAGCTTCATTTTTTTTTTGCTCTGTACATACAGTTCTGTGCTTCCAGGACACACAGCTACTCCGGAAATTCAGGACCTGGCCTCCTGCCTGACATCAAGCAGTTAACTTTGTATGCAAGATGAGAGAGTGAACATGTCCATGAGATAACACCAATGTCTTGTCGTTGTACCCACTGCATCTCCCCCGCTTTGTCTTCTTACTCCTGTTCTTGTGCATGTATCACATACTTTTTGTCACTGTAAAATGATCTCTGAAGTCTGATTAGAACAATTCTTCAGTTTGTAAGGGGAAAAGCAGAGAGAGGCAAAAAAAATCTCCTGTGCTGTGCCTGACTCCTCTTCAGAGAAGAAGAGAAACAGAAAAAAAGAAATTGACAACCACAAAGTTTCTACAGAAGAAGAAACGGCAACAGGCAGCTTTGGGAAATTTTAGTTTTTACTTTGTCCCTGTATTTTTGTGGAAGATCTCTGTCCCTAAAATCCATGCCATATTAACTATGAAATCTACTGAAAAATCAAGAATGCAAAATGTGAAGCTGCAAGAACAACCAAGCACACCTAAACAATTCTCTTGGAAAACACCAGAGTGCACTACTGCATAGTTGAGATGATTTACAAGCAGACTAAGCGATATTATGGGGATGTGAATTTGGCCTACTTCAAGAGAAAAAACCTCCATGCTGCAAACAGCGATTTTCTTAGGTTTAGGTATTTGATTTTAAGGCATTTCGTGCTCCCTAACACCTGACTTCTTTAATGATTTTCTCTGCTGTCAAAACCAGGCTTAATTAAAATATGTATCAAAGGTCAGAGGCATTGAACACAAAGTTACCCAAGATGATGCATTTGACTTAATGATGAGATCTGCCATCAGAAAGTACTTAACAAAATAATGTCTATGGTTCAATTTGGTAGAACGGCTGATCTAAGAGCATTTTTTCACTTTCAGGAGATAGAGATGCTAAGAGAGGTGTTCATTATTGAATAACCAGAACTTTTAAGCTTTATTCTGTGTTTCCATTGTAAATCATAGAATCATTCAGGCCAGAAGACACCTTAGGAGGTTTGTAGTACAACCTCCTCAAAGCAGTTCACAGTGAATTCTGACTATGTCGCTTAAACTTTGTCCAGTTGGTCTTGGAAAGCTCCACAGATGGAAATTCCAGAGCAGCTCTGGGGAACCCACTGCTGTGTCTATCCTCCTTAAAGAGAATGTTTTCCCTTACACCTAGTCAGAACCTCGCTTGTATCGATTTGTGACCACAACCTCTTTTTCTCCTATCACACAAGTCAGTGAAGAGCACGGCTCTGTATTCTCCACAGGCTCTTCACATGTATTGAGGGGCAGCTACACACCTCCCCAAGTCTTCTCCAGGCTGAACACGACCCATTCCCTTGCTCTTTCCTCACAGGAGCATGCTCCAGTTCTGACCATCTCAACGGCTTCCCATTACACTCACTCCAGTCTTTCTTAGATCATAACCATGCGTGTTAAATACACATCCTTTCATACACAGGCTCTCCAAATGCTTCATATTGCTTTTCTTGAAGGCTTCCCTTGTCAAAGTAACAAATACTTGTGTTGCTTCAACGGGAACCTAACCGTGAGGATCCCGAGGCAGGTGGACACCTCACATTGCACTGAATTAACAGCAGAAGTAGCAGGTCTGGGTATCAGTGGTCTCCCAGCCTGCAGGAATCCAGACAAACATTTTTGCCTGCTGTTCCTCTGTCAGAAAAATAAAGACAAATTCAAAGACCTCCACTTGAACGGATTTCCTGAGGTACTTACACATACAGGGATTAACTGGTTTACCTAAAATGAATGAAACAGTAGTTTTCATTCACAAGGTACCCAAAGACTGCATTAAACTCACCACAAACACTTCTCAATCCATCCTTTAATAAATAGCACTTTCATACCCAGAAGGTAACTGAAATGTCATAACTGGTTTCTGGTGCTAAACACAATTAAATGGTAATGTGGCTGATACAATCACAGTGCTGTTACACTGAGGTGGGGTACTTCAGTTAATATCCAATTTTTAAACATTTTGAAAGCAAGATCATTATAGTTGCTGACTTGCTGATGGCATAAAGGAGAAAATTTTCTTTTGGTGAACTGATGAAACCTCCTCTTTTCTCCTGCTACCAGTATGGGGGCAACAGATTCTCTCAGACTTCTCTCAATGCAAGTCATTATCTCATTTTTGAGGTCATTAGTGTTGTAGTGGAAAACATTCACTGTACTGCAAAACATTCCCTCTGCACAGTGGATTTCATATCAGATAAAAAAGTTTTAAAATATTTAAAAGCACACCTCAAGAAAACATGCAACCTTTCCTTAACAATGCAAAAAGTCCCCTAATACCACTCATGAATTTTGCATGTCTGCAAATCTAACAATTATATTCATGTCTATGACAAAAATAAGGCAACAGGTGTACTATTACATTTTTTTACTCACAACGCAGGAGCCTGGCAATGGTAACTGAAATTACCAATGAACATTATCCACACTGGATTCATGGCAGACAAAATTACAGCTTACATTTTATCAGCATTCAAGCTGCATTTCTGCCTTGTACATACAATCTTCTGCACTGATCCTGTGTCCATGGCTTGCTGTTCTTTCCACATATTTCAAGAGGTTTGGAGACAGAAAACTATTGCAAGTTTTTTAGTACAAGGCTCCAAGTTTAATGATTGGACAGTCACAATCTGGAACTGTGTAGTGAGAACTACAAATCTGTGAGTAAAGCTAGAGAAGTACTTCACCAAACACTACCTTGCACAAACTTTCTAATGGCAAACATAGAGAACTATTAATTTCTACAGTATGAAGTTTTTCCAGTTATAGCCCTGATGCAAAGCTTACTTGGGAACAAAAGGGGATCACTGTTAAATAATAATCTGAATATAAACACGTCATAGTCTGACAACAGGCCATTAGGTCTTGTTTTGTGTTTTGATGAAATTTATGCAACTGCCCAAGTTGCCAAGTGAGTTACTTTTCAGAAAATCTACTGAACCCAAACGTTAATATTACCACTAAGAGGTCCTGATAACACTGAACTCTGCAGATGCATCACTGATGATCATTTGTTTAGAAACGTAAATGTATTCTTACACTACTCTCTTATTTCTACAATCTTTTTTTCCCCCTCTGGCTGAAACTCATCACTGCAATATAAACCTCATAATATTGAAAATATTAATATTAATGGAAATGTGTTCACAGTGTGAAAGTAATGACTCAGACCTGTAACTTCTCTAACACATTCTACCAACAATCTCTTAGGAAACAAGTGTCAAATACTGTGACTTTATACAAGTAGCATTAGTTAAAATTTTATGAAAGCACACAAGTATGTTGTCAAAAATTTTATTTTTATTGTTTGCACTAACTGCATCATCATTAACAGCTTTCATCTCTAACAAACTAAAGCAAATCAGCACACACAAAAACCTATGCAAGGTCAGCATTCCTAAAGCAGAACCTCTGTTATTTAAATGCACACCTGGGTGTGTAACAAGTCTAGTGACAGTTCATCCTAACACTTTAAACACAATCATTCCAGTTTCATGCACTTTTCAGGGCTGTTAAAAAGTTTCATTTTAGGGGAAAAAAAAAAAAAAACAGCTACAAGATTTATGGAGATAACTCGTTTTTAAACCAAAATTCTTATGGTCTAAATTATTAAACTACAGCAAGCACTTTTCTTCAGCTGTAATAATTTTGCCCTGCAAAACAAAAAAGAAAAAAAATTAGTCACTTTGCTGTTTTAGGTATAAATTATCATTAGCAACCTAAACACTTGCCAGCTCATGCTGCATATACTCCCATTTCTGTCAAGTGTTTGCCAGTTTCATTCACCAGCTCCTGGCTTTCCTTCTGAGCCGAAATGGAAGTTCGTATAAAACTAATCAGTTCTGCAATGAAGGGCTTTGCCTTTTAAAATCCTGGCTGAAAATCTGAGACTTACCAGGCAAGCACCTGCATGTGATCTCTTGTCAACCCTACAGTAACAGACCCACAAACCAAGACAGTCCATTTGGTTTTAACTCATTTCTGCAAGTTGTTTCTGAACTAATTGTTGAAATTAAAATAGTTCATTATTAACTAGCAGTTTTGATGAATAAACTTTATCCTCTCAGTTTCTGAATGTAGTTTTAATTTGTTCTAGCTGGTGCATTTGTTTTTGGATCTGATGCATTTGTTATTTATCTTACTTCTCTGGCATAAATCCAGAAGGCAGCACAAGAGGGAATGAGTGACAGAAGGAGAAAAATTAGCCCAATTCAAACAGTTAGAATGGAAATACTGTAAGATTAACAACAATAGATAGGGTAAACATCTGAGTACGTACTAAAGACCTCATGTGAGGCTGTAAGGGAATCCTGAACTAATAGGCATCACTGGAAGTTTAGCCCAGCCTCTCAGAAGCCACAAAACAGGATTTGCAATGTCAGTTTTTAGCAAGTGAGACTAGAACCTCCCTGTCCACATCCCTGAGAGATCCCCAAAGTAAATTTAAAACAGAAGTACAATAGAATTACTGTCGGGTATATTCTACTGTGCTTCCAGATGCTAATTTTACCTGAAGTGAGTCCTTAACCCCTAAAGATGCCAATAATGTAGGAGCAGAAACCATGCAGGGATTCCCAGCAATGTTCCCGTGCCAGTTTCATTGCTTCTGTTTCATTTTCAGACCCTTGCCCTGCTCCTCTCATAGAAGTGGACATTTTCTGCACTGATTCTTCCTGGTTTGCTAGCTCTTCTGGCTCCACACCAGTAGCTATTTGCTTCATGAGAGCCTCTGGAGGAGCCTTTTGGCACATGGAGGTCTTCAACACTTCCGTGGATTCACAAGCATGAGGGATCTTTCTAAGTTCCGCGGCGATCTGATTCCAGTAAATCTTTGGATTATTTCTGAAAGCACGACAGACTGATGGCTTGCCAGTGAATTCACACCAGTAGGACATGTCTTGGCTTTTGCATTCAATTCTAAGTTTCATCTCCTCATCATCCCCACTAATGCTCATTGTGCAAATGTCTTTGGTTTTAGTTCGAAATTTGATTTCTTCACCATTGCTTCTTTTCTTTGGCTTCAGCTTCTGTCCCAGTCCTCCCATGCCACAGATAACAACTAGGAAAAGAAGAGTAAAACCCTTCATGGTGTGAGGAGTTGACCGAGATCCCTGAGCAACACGATCCAAAAAAGTGAAATCAGTAAGTAAATGCTTGCTCACAATTTAAAGGCTTGGTGCACAAAGAAGCCTCTTTCCAGCAAAACATTGGATGTAAGGGTTGGGCTTTTTTATAAAAATAATAAATCACACTTCAGTAGGCACATGCCCATAATTTATAGCCTGAGGGAGTGTCAAATAACCTTGGGAGTGTGAACTCCCAAGAAGGTAACAAGACATGTCTTGTAAATGCAGTTAAATACAGAACGATAGTTGTATAACTGAGAAGCACATTCCTATTCAGGATGAACATGTCATATTTGATTTTTAACAGATATTTGCCATTCTCCAGCTGCTTTATAGCTATCTTCATGCCAGAGCTTGTAAGACCATATCAAAGAAAAAAAAGATAAAAGTGCCAAAACAATCTCTGCAGCTACATCTGGATGATTATAAATGTGTCCTAGTAAAAAAGGCTGATTTGTACAACAGGTTTTCTTTGGATTTGCACAGTCAGGATGCACCTTTAGCACTTCATTTTGTCAGCACATGATATGCAGTGAGGATGCATGAAAGATAAACCATACATTCTTTGAGCCATGAAAGATTTTACACTTGCAATGCTTAAGCAAGATAAGGAATAAAGCTTGAGCAAAATAAGGTATTACTGGCCTAAACATACACCAAACATTTGGAAGTTTTATCATCACTGTCACACCATGAGTTACTTTCAGCCAACAGAGTAAGACACCAGAACTAATTTATCATGGGTCAAAGCAGCAGGAAACAGACCACAAAGCATATCAGACAGATATTTGTGCTTCATCACTTTTTAGTTGTTTTTTTTTTTAAAAAAAAAGGTATTTTCCTGTTCATAAAAAGTGAGTTGTAAAAATGACATAAAATAAAGGCAAGAGAATAGAAATATTTTAGTGCAGTTTCTGCTGCAGTAACTAAAAGCAGAGCTAAGGAAAAATCACTGTAACTCCCTTGGCATTCAGAAGGTCATGAGGAAAAGCCCTTCCCTTGCTGTGGTAAGACAGTACTTTTCTGGCTGATAAGACCCCCACCAGGCACTTCTTCCTAAGACATATATGCTACACTCAGCTTTACCTCACCAGCTGCTGGAAGGGGGTATTAGGTATGCAACTGTGAGGTGCTAGAAACCCTGGGGTTAAGACTGGCCATACATAACAGAACAGAACACCATTTTCTGTATCTAGTTGCTCACCAGGCAGCATTAAAGAAAACAGTACGGCAAAAACATTCATTTAACACATTGGGCAAAGCAGAACAACAACAACAAAAGTTTCTTGGGGCAGTTGACAAGAGTCCCAGCTGCTGTGGGGAGTCCCCAGCTAATCTGGAAGTTGCCCACTTGAAGGTGGAGCCATCTGGAACATCCATTCTGGGTATCACGAACCTTGTTCTTCCAATGTGTCATCAAGTTCCACAAGACTGAATACCATTTAACAGAGAGAACAACCTTGTTTTCTTTTCATCCCCTCTCTAAGGCTATTTTAGTAACATTTCTGGTAGAGGTCTCATCTCTATTCTTCCCATTAGTTTCTCCTGTCTGTCTCTTTCAAGGTAGGGTGTGACTCTCCAGCCAAATCCAGGGACAACAATGGTACAAACCTACTTAAGACTTACAATTCACTCTTAGTTATTTTCTAGGGAGTCTTCTTACCCTTCAGCCAGCTGGAGAGAAGAATCCCCTAGCCCACTGTCATGGTTTGAGATAGCCCCAAAATCCAATTCCCTAGCTCCATCCCCCCTCCCACATTTCAACCTAATGTGAGATGCTTTTTTTCCAGACAAAACACAACCAGACTCAGAATGGGGGAAAGGGAATATATTACAATGACTGTACAAATAAATACTATAACACATTATACACACGATCACAACTATCTCTACCATGACATATAGTATTTACAATAGATCAGATCTCCTCTCCCCTCCAAATAAAAGTCCAGGAGGGAAAGAAGGACAGATCCTTTCCAGTCTCTCAGGGCAGCAGCTTCTTCTAAGGCAGCAGGTTCTCCTCATCTCATGCATGCAGCAGTAACTGGATTGTTGTAGCTGGATCTCTGTTCAATACACACAAGGGGGTCTCCAAGCCCCTCGGCCCGTCGTCTCCAAAACGAGGGTCTTTCTCTTCCGTGGACTGCGTAGCAGGGACAAGCTCGCGTCACCACGTCATACCACGAAGCTCAGGGGTCTTCGTGGCAGTCCCTTTCCTCAGGGGATTCAAATTCCCCTTTGCAGAGCTCTGTGCTCTGTCTCAAGGCTGCTAGCTTAGCAGCAGCAGCGAGGGGGGCCAAGGTCAACCCCCCCGCATTCCTTCTCCGTCCCGGTCCAGCTTCCCAGGACGCCTTTGAGCTTCTCAGCTCCTCTCTGCAAGTGCTGTAGCACTCCAAGGCTCTTTCAAGCAAGAGTCCATCATCTTCCTCCTTCCAGGAGGTTTCAAGGAGTTTGGGGGTTTGGTACAGTTCCTACCCCCAGAACTCTGAAGTTCTGCTGCAGGCTCTCTCTTCTGCTGCTTCCTTCGGTTCAGTTCTTATCTGTCCTGGCTCTTATCCAGAGTCTCTGGACACTGCCGCTGCTTCTGCTCTGTCTCTGCAGCCCCCAGCTGGGGCTGGGGAGGGCCAGAGGCCCCGAGGGGCTCCGGGCCCCTTTCCTCGTGGTCTCACAACATGGCTACTTCTTCTACCAACCCAAACTACAACCCCTTCTCTTCCGGTGCTTGTGATATGTTTACATTTCTGCAGGAGCGCTAATTGGGCAGAACTTCAAAACTTCCAGGGGTCTCCACCCCTGGGGGTTACCACTTTTTTTCAGCCTCTGGGGGAAAACAAGGTTCAAACCACTACACCCACCTCAAACTTAATTTCAAGGATTTCAAATCCCTATTGCAAGCACTCAAATGCCTCATAATATTTGACAAGCAACTGTATTGTTTGCACTTTGTTATACACAACAGAACTGACAGTTTTTAGATAAGAAACTAAAGACATCTGTCTCATTCTAATAACTGCTAAAGAGTTTAAAACAACTTAAAAGTTACTTTATACCACTTTCAGATCTCTTGTTCTCAAAGTTTTCAAGTTTAATCATGAAAACAAATAAATTACAAGGATAAGGATAAATAAATACCAAAGCTTGGATTCCAGTATATTTACATATTACAGCTACTAGGTTACTGCCAAGTGTTTGTCTCACTCCCATCTGACTTTGTGTCCTCTGTCTGCTTGTGCTTCAGACGAAAGAGCTCATGGTCTCTTGTATCTGTAGAAAACAAATGCCCTTTTACAAGGTAAGCTAGAATGCCAGCAGTGAACTATGGGAGCTGAAGAACTAGCAAATGTTTAATTCTCCTGTCAGGGCTACAGAAACAGGTTATATGGATATACTCCACAACTCATTAGCTTGAATCCTACCATCTTTGCATAATTCAGATCCTTTGTGGAAGTTGGAAGCTCCCTCACCCAGAGTCAATGTTCTTTCAGTCCATCCTGCTCCAAAAATAAAAGTCAAATACAGAAGAAATTTTTATTCAAGGTAAAAAAATTAATTTTCCTAAGATTTCAACTCAGTGCAACTCTTCTGAGACAGGTCTACACAACAAAACAAGTGAGAATCAAACATCAGGTAGTTAAACAATTTCTTTTTTATTTAAATGAACTGGGAACATTTTCTCAAATTAAAAATAGAAACTTTTAAAAATCTGAAGTTCTGAACATTACATATACACATATGCTACATACTGTCAATTAGAAATGTTTCCATTTATGATGTAAAAATTAAAAATTTAAGGTTATTCTGGATTAAAGACTTGTATCACTTTTCAAGCATTTCTTTGAAATTATAATAATGACTTACAGAATTGTCCCTACTTCAACATAATGAACCTTGCTGGAAACAAAGTTGACAACACTGATATATGAAGAGATTATTTTAGATCAATAATTCTAACTACTTCACCTGCCAAAATGTTTTAGACTGGTAACATACATACTTTTGGCCTTTTGATGAATTCTGTTGTTAACTAACTCAGCAATGCAACTGTTTGCCTAAATTCAAGGCAGTAACTCTTAGTAACACAAATGTTAACTCCATTGCTAAACATATTTGAATTTTAACAGTGGAAATCACAGTTTAAAATTATTTAGCAAGAATATTATCACTGCCCCCAAAAGTCACAGTGTTACCATTAAGGACGTTACAGAAGTGGGTGTCAAAGAGGAAAAGAAAGACAGAGAATGTAAAGCATTCTAAAAATTGCCAACATAGGACATCCCTCATGCTCTTTTTGAGTACTACTGAACTCTAGAAAGCTTAGTTTTTTCACTATATTATGTAACCCGCACACTCCCCACCCCCCCCCCCCCCCAAAGTTTAAAAACAAACTTCTCCAAAAAGTTTTTTTTAGGTCTATACTGCAAAACCCACTAAATATTAAATAATTTTAAAAAAAAAAAAAGAGGAAGAAAACAAAACTACAACTGAACTTTTCAGATGCACAAAGAGACACAGTGGAACCCATTAAAATTCAAATTTAGTCCAATGTGGTCATTCAAGAGCACCAAATAGCAACACTGATCATGCTGGTAAATTCATTTGTGTAGAGTATTATACAATATTAAAATCTTAACTAAACACTTAGAAGTTTTAAGAAAAATGTATATACAAAAGTCTCTGTATACAAAATGTATTTTTATGTAAACGTGTATGTACTGTATTTAACACAAATCAACAATTTAAGATAAGAACTTGAACAACTGTCAGAGAATTCCTAGGCAAAGGCTGTTATCTAATTAATTTATATACTGTGATGTAAGGTACAAAGCCCAGTGTAAAAAAAGTAAAAAACAGAAAACATTTTTATTCAAGCCTTGAACAGTGGTATTTGAGAGGCAGTGCCCTGATCTCAAAATATTCTGTACAGTAGTTTATGGCATAACATTCAATAGTATATTTGGGATTTACAGTACAGCTGACATAAAACAAATGGCTCAGGATTTGTCAGATGAATGGAAATGCCAATACACTTGGAAGAATAGTGATATGCTCCCGTAGAAGAATCTTGAGCCTCATTTACATAGCCTGGAAATAATAACAAAAACAATTCAGGAAAATCTGATAAAAAATTGATAAAGATAGAATTTTAATGTCATTTAAACAGAATGAAGGCACAGATTTTCATATCAATCTGAATATGGTTGAAAAAGTTTTTTATTTTTAAACCTTAGAGCACCTTAGAGAGTTACAGAAATCAGAGCAGCTTTCTTAAAATTAGTAAAGTAGCAATAGACCTCGAATTGACTTAAAAAGCTTATTACTTACCCCTTAACGTTTCCAGTATGTGTTACCACTGTTCCACAGAGCTGTACAAGGAAAAAAAACCAGAAACCAAACCCATCATTTTCTTTTGGCCACAAATGGAACAGAAATACTCTGTCTAACTAAGGTGAGACCAGCTCAGTTGGCACAGACTCTTCTCAGTCTTTTACCCATTCAGTCAAGCATTCTTCAAACAAGAGGAAATAGATTCATGGTTCTCTCCATCAACCTTTCTGGTTATCTTTGTTTCATGATAGAAAGAAATGCCTGGATCGCCTGTTCAACACCATTCCTTTGCAAACTTAATCCTCCTTAAACTTAAGCCTCCTGTATTGCTCTCACAAAAATGGTGGCTGCATTTAAGGTTATTTGTATCTTTGATATGTATATGAAAACCCCTTGTGTGAGACACATACACCTCAAAGACCTCTCACTTGTACTTACATATCTTAGTGTTATAAAAATATTTGCCTCTCTTTCCTGATTTTGAAGGCCAAAAAAAAAATCCCAACCCTATGGGATTCTTTAAACCTGCAAAAGTACAGGTGTACAGAGATCTGTTCAAAGTTGTACCCCTCAAAGCATCTCCAAAAATAATTTGCAGGAAATCAAAAAAAATCAAGGATAAAAGTGAAGAGTATGCTGAAATGAAAATTAAAACCAAGACTTTATTCATATGGGAATTCCATACTGAGAAATTCAAAGCATGTATGCCATAATTAGCAGTTTTTCAAATTATCTCAGCAGATCAGAAGGCAGCACTGCTTCAAACTGAATGTTTAAATTTTATTATGGAAGCCCATTTTAAGTAACTCAGAATTTAGAAAAAGGTAGTCAGGACTGAACTAGCGGATCTTTGTGTAAAACATTATTTTATGCTAGTCATTTTTAGGTTATTCAGGAACACAATTACCTATTCATCGATGACTGAAATACCACAATAAAACATGATATGAACCTCAAGAGTATTAATATCCACACTAAAGATTCAAAGATCAGAAAGGGACTTCTAATGCCTGAGCAATTATTAGTTTCCTCATGTACAGTATTGAAAGTTCTTAAATATAGATATGACAGTGGACAGTACTTTAGAATTAAACACCTTGTCAGTTAATTTAGAGAGTAAGTACCCTTTAGTTGCAGAACAGACCAGAAAAATTGTGATCATAAATATCACTAAAAACTCCTTCAAAATAAGATGTGGAATCAAGATCTGGTCAGTAAATAATTATTGTAAAATACAGTTTTAAATACTGCTACTAATAATAATCATTATCATCATCATTGGATGCAGCCACAAAATCTGGCAAGACCCAAACTCTGAGCTCTCTTGGTATTTACCCATTATTTGAGTGGTTGTATCTTCTCTGCAAATACTCAACCTATACTTTCAGTCATGAAGTTGCAAGTTAAAGCACAGTGAGCTACAGATTTCAATCATAAATTTGATCCTTCCTTATGCAACTTGCAAAGTTTGCAAAGCCAGATACTGAAGTTGTGGGACATCCTATGTTATCCCTATGGAAACTGAAATTCTCACAGCTAGCTTAAGTTTTATGGCACAGTTGTTGGAGAGGCAGAAAAGAATCCAAATCTCCTCTTTTTACACATAACTTGAACTTCTTGTTTTGTGATGTTACATTCTAGTCCTACCCATACAGAAACACCCATTTTCTATGTTCATGCTTTCTGCATACCTGAATCACCTGCCTTCTACACAGGAAAAGCCCTTCTCACCATTTAAAAAATAAAATTACTCAAGAGTACAAATACATCCCAGCCTATCACATTCAAGTGCTATCAGAGTATTTTAATAGGTTTGTCAATTTAGGACTACCCACTGTGCTAGCTAAATACCTAATTACATGGATTTTAAGATCAAATATAGGCAATGCCTTTGTTAAGCTGCAGGAAATTACTACAGTGTCTGCTGTTATGTAAAGAATATTTGAGAAATATAAATCATACAGCATTTGTTATAGTGAATAATCATGCAAAAAACCAAACAAAATTAAATGATTCACTTTAAAGCATGCAGAAAATTGAACAGATGATTAAAAGAGTAGCTTAAGTAAGGACACATGAAGGCATGCAGTTTCAGACTTGGTTTACCTTGTAAAAACAGGATTGTGTATACCATATAAATGCTCTTTATGATAACCATTATTACCATTTTCTGTACTGTAATAAAATAAATACACCAAGAAAGACCATGTTAACTATAAGATGCATTATGTACAGTATGGCTTCTAAGACATGTACATGGGTGATGGTATGATATGCAAAGATAAACTGTGTCTGTACAATAGAATATAATTTTTCCTTTGTAACTTTCAGGAGTTATGGCATAATCATAATTTTACATTTTAAAATATTTTTATATTCTCAAAAAATCAATTAATTACTTTTCTATTCTTGTTGAGTTGGATACTCTAATATAATCTATAAAGTCTGGTGAAACAGAACACGTTACCTCTTTAGAAGTAACAAGTTACATTAAAAATATAAACCCTCCCACATTAATAAAATAATTTTAGCAAATATCAGCAAAAATGTCTTACGTTTTCATGGGTATAGTTTCGACACTAAAAAAACACAGAAAAGGAGGAGTAATTAACTAGACAGTAATAAGTGAGTAATTTTAGCTGTACACGACTGTTTCTGCTTTACTGACTTGTGAATGTGCCATGAAAAATGACCAGTGTGAAATGTGACAAATGCAGTGCACAGGCTACATGAACAATGAGCAAAACAAAGAGCAGAAAAGAAAACAATAAAAACAAAACTGATGGGAAAATAGGTAAGAATAGTTATCATAAAGTAAAATGCCAAGTCCCTGAGACAGAGGAACTGCAATTGAAAAAGGAAAGACTGGTTAGGAATAACTAAGATAGCAAGAAAGCAAATCACTAATTCAAGGAGATTACAAATCAGGCATAATTCACCTTAACAGGTTACTTAGCAGAACTAATAACTTGCGCATTTGGAACTTATTTATATAAACATTGATCATAAAGCCCTGAAGACCCCATCCTGAAATAAATTTCTCAAGGTCAGAGCCAGCACTATCTGCAGAGTCATGGCCCCCAAAGGCCAACTGCATGAAGCACTTTGCAGGCACCGACCCAAACCAGCAGCATTTCCCAGGAACATGAGGGTCTGCTCTGTCAGCACAGGTTTAAGGATTATAGAGCCTTCACATGAAACA